CGCAGCGCGCAGGAGCGCCAGCTGAAGGACGGCGCGCCGGGGCGCGCCGGCTGCGGCAACCCGGGCAAGTTCCACCACGTGGAGAAGAGCGCGGCGTGCGCGCCGCTCTGCACGCCGGGCGTGGACGTCTACTGGAGCCGCGACGACAAGCGCTTCGCCGTGGTCTGGCTGGCCGTCTGGTCCGGGCTCTGCTTCTTCTCCAGCGCCTTCACCGTGCTCACCTTCCTCATCGACCCGGCGCGCTTCAGGTACCCCGAGCGCCCCATCATCTTCCTCTCCATGTGCTACTGCGTCTACTCCGTGGGCTACATCATCCGCCTCTTTGCGGGCGCCGAGAGCATCGCCTGCGACCGGGACAGCGGACAGCTCTATGTCATCCAGGAGGGCCTGGAGAGCACGGGCTGCACCCTGGTCTTCCTGGTCCTCTACTACTTCGGAATGGCCAGCTCCCTGTGGTGGGTGATCCTCACGCTCACCTGGTTCCTGGCTGCGGGCAAGAAGTGGGGCCACGAGGCCATTGAGGCCAACAGCAGCTACTTCCACCTGGCGGCCTGGGCCATCCCCGCCGTGAAGACCATCCTGATCCTGGTGATGCGCAGGGTGGCGGGGGACGAGCTGACCGGCGTCTGCTACGTGGGCAGCATGGACGTCAACGCCCTCACCGGCTTCGTCCTCATCCCGCTGGCCTGTTACCTCATCATCGGCACTTCCTTTATTCTCTCGGGCTTTGTGGCCCTTTTCCACATCCGGAGAGTGATGAAGACGGGTGGGGAGAACACAGACAAACTCGAGAAGCTCATGGTGAGGATCGGGGTCTTCTCCGTGCTCTACACGGTGCCGGCCACCTGTGTGATTGCCTGCTACTTTTACGAACGCCTCAACGTGGAGTACTGGAAGGTCCTGGCCACGCAGCACAAGTGCAAAATGAACAACCAGACCAAAAACCTGGACTGTCTGATGGCCGCCTCCATCCCTGCGGTGGAGATCTTCATGGTGAAGATCTTCATGTTGCTGGTGGTGGGCATCACCAGCGGCATGTGGATCTGGACATCCAAGACTCTGCAGTCCTGGCAGAGTGTCTGCAGCCGCAGGTTCAAGAAAAAGAGCCGACGGAAACCGGCCAGCGTGATCACCAACAGCGGGATTTACAAAAAAGCCCAGCACCCTCCCAAAACCCGCCTCGGGAAATACGAAATCCCCGCCCAGCCTCCCACCTGTGTGTGAAGGGGCTTGCGGGGAAGGTAGGGGTGGAAAACTTTCCCGGAGAGGATACAGTGGCGGCCAGAGCCAAAACATGGTGCTTCTCTTCATTGGTTGCTTGCTTGCTTGTTTTGGTTTTTTTTTTTTTTTAATAAACGTAAAAGAAAAAAAAAAGTCTTTACCCTGAAATCCAGGATGCTGTGATACACTGAAAGTTAAAAAAAAATGTACTTAAAGGTTTTTGCTTTGTTCTGTTTTCCCTGAAGGAGAGCTCTCCAGCTAAGTAGCCTCTTGTGTAACTAATTTGTGGTGAAGAAAACTTTTGTTTAGGACCTTCCATAAATATACATCTGTGTGTTTGAGTTGGTTTTGCTATCCATTTACAAATCAGAGAGGAAATAAGTTCTTTGCAAACTGGAGAGCCTCTGCTCAGCTGCAAAGAGAGAGAGGCAGGCAGATGGGTCCCTTTGCAGCGAGCCAGCCGTCCCAGGGGCCCGCCCTCAGGAAGGCCGCCTGCCAGACAGCAACTTCTGTGCAAACAGGAAGAAAGAGACAGCGTGACAACTCAGCACAGTCCAGTGGATTCGGAGCCACTTAGAATAGACCCCGGCCTCTGGCCTCCACAAATGCTCCTTCTCCAAGGTAGACACGTCCCCCAGGCCTAATGCTGGTGAACGCAAACGGTGTGCAATACATTTCCCACCCCCCTTTCCATGAAAATAAAAAGAGAAACAAGTATTTTGCTGCACATAAAGACAACAAAAGAAATCTCCTAACAAAAGAACTCAGAGACCCAGCCCTCGGAACCTCTTCAGTGTTACAGTTTGTGGCTTTTTAATGGAAACCAAGCCAATACACATTGGGACCGATTTGTGGAAAGGGGGGGTGAGAGGGGAGAAGGATCATTCAAAGGTGCCCAAAGGGCTTACTGACTCTTTCTATTATTAAACAAATGGTTTCCCTGAATGGCCCCTAGAAGCAGTCTGCAAACCCTGAGTTTATCCTCCTTCCCAGGAAATGCCAGGAAAGGGTCGCCCTGCTGGTGTCTATTTGTAATATACACTATTTTTCATGCTCCAGTATTTTATTAAAAATAAAATATGTTCTTTAGTTTGGTGCTGGCCCCTTGTATGTTGTGAGTGTCCCCTTCTCTGGGCGGGGGGCAGAATAGGGAAAACTTTCTCCCTCTGTTTGCTTTTCAAGCAAATCCCGCCTATGTGTCTCTCTCTACAGATCACTGGTTATCTGTATGCAATGGCAGAGGGGCAGAGATTCCAATGTTGGCAGGATAACCGAATTTCGAGTTGCAGAGGAATTACCTGCAAGATTGGGTGAGGTTTGAAGTTGTCTCTGCCTCTCAGTCGCAGGATGCGAGGACCTGCTTGTAGCCCAGTTCCTCAGGAAGCATCTTGGCTACTGAGCCTGGATACACTCCTGTGCCTGGACAAGCCTCTGGGAATCTCTCTGGAGAGTGGACCCAGCCAATTAGGAGAATTAAATCAGAGTAGGGTTCAGGTGACCTGCTGAGGTCAAACGGTACCCAGATAGAACTGCAGACTACCGGTCCAAAGTGTGCTGGCCTTGCAGCAACTCCTGGACGTGTTTACAAAACAGACTGTAGGTCTGGACGAAATAAAAATGTCTGCTGAGGAAGGTGGCAGGCGGTGGGGGTGTTGCGTCATTAGGAGAAGTTAATCAGCTTTGCACTTCACCGCACTTGATTTTTCTCCTGTGTCTGCCGTCGCAGTGGTACAGCGGTGAAGGCTTGAGGTAGGCCCGGGTTCAGCGGGTCGGAGGCACAGAGGGATCCAAGGGCACAGTCTGGTTCTGCTGCCGTGGGAATCGGATGGACCAGCTCGGGCTGGATGGAATCGGATGGAATCACACTGATGCCAAACTGCAACCCGAACAAGGCGCTCTTAATTTTGAGCATTTATTCCGCACTCACTAATGGTACGCGGAAGCCTGCAGGTAGGGCGGCCTGCTTCCTAGAGACAGTGTCGAGGAGCCAAGCCAGACGACCCAGACCCTCCCCACGTCGGCAGCGTGAGAACTGGGCACTGGTGCAGGTCTTCTGAGGGGAAAGGGGTGGGATCCCCGGGCGGGGAGCTTGGATGGCTTAGCACCAAGTTCCAGAAACACCAACTAGGCAGGCCAAGTAAGTAGAGGCAGCATCCAGAATAGCCTTCAGTGCATTAAAAAGGGGGAGAAAGTTTAAAAAATGCCCCCAAATAAAAACCTATTTGTTGGTTGCTCCCGCCCAGCCCCTGGAAAAGACTACCGAGGTATTAACGTGCGTGTGTATGTATGCATGTAATGCTCCCTTTTTGTAACTCTTAGAAAAAATAAAAATGATGTGTTTGAAACAGAGCTTGGAAAAGTCGAGAAAGGTAACTGCCAGGGCACCGCTGTGGGTGTCTGAGGTGGGCGCCAGCCCGAAACACTCAGTTCCGAAGTCACTGGGCCCATCAGCGGCGTTGGGTCTGCTTGTGTTCGGTGCGGAGGCTTCAGACGGTGGTCCCCAGGAAACCCAAGTTTAAGGGCACACGTGAGAGCCTTTGCTATGGGTGGGGATGGGTTTCAGCGTGGCTCCAGCCCCAAAACTACAGCGGCCTCGTTTACAAAGGTCAGTGGAATTCGTCCTGTGGCTGGGCCTGCTCCGCCGGGGCGTCCGGTCTCCTAAGTGGTAGCGGCTGAGATTCCTAAGTACACTGCACTCTCTCTGGGACAAAGCTGACTCCGGGTCGCCTACGACAGGTGAGTTGCAGGAGCAGCCTGTGGACCCACAAGGTAGAAGGCGGCCACAGCTGCCCGCCCGCTCCGGAATGCTCTGGCTCAAGGCCGGATTCATTCCTAAGGCATTGCTGACTGTCTCAGCGTGGAGGTTTCTCAGCGTCGCGGAGGCCACAGCCTTAGCTCCAGAAGCGCGGGAACCTGTATTGGGTGGCAGGTCTGAGTAGTGAGGTTGTAGTCAGAGGAAGCTCAAAGAAGGTGATTAGCCAAGGTCATGCTGCTGTCCATTGCCCGCCCTTCCTTCCTTCCTTCCCTCCCTCCATCCTTCCTTCCTTCCTTCCCTCCTTCCCTCCTTCCTTCCTTTATTCAGCCAGCAGCCAGCTATTCACTACCTACTGTAAGCCAGGGCTGGGGAAATGGAGAAGCAGCACCCAGCCCTTGGCTTCGAGAAGGTCGCAGCCTGGTACAGGAGACCTGCGCAGGTGTACCAGGGGCTTGGCCATGACACAGCGTCTGTGCGCTTCTATTCTGAGTCAGGGAGGCATCCCGAAGGTGGCTCAGAATTCCCAGAAGGCGGAAGATTCAACACGTGTAATTTTGCGGCGTGGTGAGGTTGCAGGGACGTAGTGATGGCTGGGTCAGGAGTTACAGACAGGGGACAGGAAACTCCACGAAGACCCCCGACCGTGCCCGGCGTCCAGCAGGCCGCCTTGGAGTCGCAATGACATTGACAACAATTAAAACAATAACAGTCATATTTGTGGGGAGCCCTTCAGAGCACTTCCTGGGTGCTGAGTGCTGGACAGATTTAATTATCACAACAATCCATTCAGGTAGGTGCCCCTGTCAGCCCCACTTTATAAGACCCTGAGGCACAGAGAGGTTCATAAACTCCCAGCGTCACACAGCAGGTAATTAGAGGTGGGCTAGGAGCCCGGCAGTCTGATGACAGCTTCTGGCCCACTCACTCAATAAGTAAGCGCTGAATGAATGAGTGAGTGAATGAGTGAGTGAGTGAATGAGAGCTAAGCGTTTTAAACCAGTTAGCATGTGAAGCACTTGCCACATGTTCATTCAATTGTCTAACTGGTTTGGGTGGTACTAGTGTCAACCCTTGGATGATAGATGAGGACATTAGAGCACAGAGAAGTCAAGCCACTTGCCGAAGGCCACAGGGGTCCTTAGCCCAGAATGTGAACCCTGGCCATGCGGCTCCGAGCCTGTCGGTCTGCCTGCCAGGTCCCCCTCCCTGTCTCGGCGGTTCTGAGGACTCGGCGTGGATGAAATCATCTCATCCTCACAGCAGGACTCCATGCCTTTGCTCCAAGCAAAAGAGGCACAAGAGCATGTTGGCAAAGTACAAAGCTCCGCTTGCCAGCGTGGGCGAGCAGGAGCGGGGAGCGTGTGACACACCGTCCTTCTGCAACAGCCTGGAGAGTGAGCTGAGGACAGAGCCGCGGGGGTGAGAAAGCAGGGGTGACTGAGAGGCCCCCCATGGTTGGGGCAGCGGGTTGACTTCATGTCGAGAGGGAGTGAGAGGGACTGGACGGTCAGGGAGGACCACACGGGCTGGGGGACCCGGGTGACGGCCGCCGAGACAGGAGGAAATAGATGAGGATGGAGGCGGAGCCGAGGGGGTTGGTGGAGTGTAGGCAGATTGTGTTTGGGGGTCACTGATTCCTCCCGGTGGTCAAGGTCAGTCTGCAGGCTCTGACGGGGGCCATGGGGGGCGGGCGCACAGGTGGGTGTCTGGAAGTGGTCACGGCTGGAGAACTGGTCGGTCCGTTGGGTGGGGGCCTCCGAGGAGGCGCAGAGGGCACCTTGACTGAGTGCTCACTCAGCCACTCAGGCGCCTCGGTTTTATTGTGAAAGGACTGAAGGAGATCACGTCGCTGGGCTCATCCAGAGCCAAAATCTGTGACCCAGACCGAGACAAGGGGGAGTCAGGGGGGTGGGAGCCAGAGACCCCTCTCTCTCCCCGGGGCACACCTCTGTCTCCTTAACTTAGCCCTTGGGCCACCCAGGCAAAGTGGGCCCGGGCCCCACAGGTGGGCGTCCATTAATTCTCTCACCTACAGAGAGGCTGCTTCAAGGCTGAAAACAGAAAACAAAAAAAATTGAGACATATTCTCGAGGCAACAGATTTTATCCCAAATCCCACATTCTTCTCTTAGAAAGGAGAGCGAGAAATACGGGAAAGAAGAGCAGATGGGAGCGCAGACTGGCACCCTACACGTGAAGGACGGGGAGCTGGCATGCCGCGCACAGGGCTGAGCACCATCTCGTCCCCACGCTGCTCGGGGGCCGGTCTGGCCCAGGCCCCTGGGCGTTGCTTTGTCTTGGGCAGGCTGCCGCACATTTATTCCACCCTCCATCTCTTCATCTGCCGAACGGGGGTGATAGTGGCGCCCCTCACTGGGCTGTCACTCCCTAGGTGCCCGACTGTTCTAATAGCGCTGTACGGATTAATC